CCCCCCCCCAAATCCCACCCTCCAAGTAGTTAACTAAGGTAGCGGTAGTGGGTAGGCCCACTGAACAAAGAAATCTGTGTTCAGATGCTGATCTTCTACTAGGGAGTTTATTATCTATACAGGCTTTGTCTTCCTCCATTGCTCCCTTCTTCTTTTATATTGTTACTGGCCTTAATACTTTTTCAAAACGTTTTGCTCCCATGTCGACACAATTTCGACCATTTAGACGGGCTTCAACTCTATTGCCAAGGCCAACCGGGGCTGAGAGGGGTACAACATCATAGCAAAAAGAACAAGATACTCGTTACAAACTTTCTTCCCACTCGGAAATCCCAAGTCGAGTCTCCGGAGTGCAACAGTGAAGCACCCAACCGTTCACCACAGACGCTGGTTTTAAAAGGTAGGCTAAAAATGTAGATCTGTATCAAATCCAATATTTTGGAGATTTTTTCTCTCCTAGAATTCTGTATCCTACTCAGTCCGTCTTGGCAAAAGTAGCGAGGGTCAAAATCGTCACAGCCCGCTTCAATCAGGATCAAGATTTCGATATCATAATTTTGATCAGGCATAACGAATTTCCAGCCTATTGTGTTGCTTGTCTTTATGATAAGTGTACGCTGTCAGATACAGATAGCGGGTGATTGGCGGGTGCTCGTGTGTGGTTTGTTCCTTCTTCCCTATCAATGGTCCATCATCCTTCTCTGACATCTCCTCATTCTTTTTTATTTGTTTGTTACTCTCTTGTAACACCTCTAAATCTAATCATCGGCAGTTATATGACCTAATTGTGTTGCAAATGCCGTAAAACGCTTACTGAAACAAATGACAAATGTACAGTCCGTGGTGTTGTTTACCTTTGCGAGAGGTGCATGCTGTCAGACACATGCAAGGAACGGAGTGACCTGTCGTTGTGAACGGTTGTGTAAGTTGTGAGACACCACCAGGTGTGTTGTTGTTGTTGGTCCAGGTCAGTCAGTGGTCGGTCCGAACAGTTGGCGACCTGTGGTCAGTCTGGCCCGGTCATGACTTAGTAAACTGGGCTCTCTCTCTCTCTCTCTCTCTCTCTCTCTCTCTC